TCCCTAGATTCTGTATGCCTTCTATTCACTATATATCTTTTAAGTAATAAATAATGTATTTGTATCCATGTTAATTAGCTCTCAGCCATTTTCATATATTTTTGTTTTAAAAAAAACAAAATTACATGTAAAGTTTAACAATTAGTCTTCTCCTACACTTCTATTTGAAGCAAATTACATGTAACCGCATAAAAAAAAAAAAAAAAAAAAAGAATGCAGTGTCCTTTACTCCTAATTCCCTCTAATCCCAACACCTAATCTTAGTGTTAAAATATCATTATCGTTAATATAATAAATCAAAAATAAATAAATAATTATATACTTTTTTCTTCTAAAATCAGAAAAAATAAAACAAATCAAAAATTACAAAAAGTGGTTTCGTTTTAAAATGTAAAATTTCATGACTTGCATTGCGGAGAACCCAAAAAAGAAAAAATAAAAAACTGAGTCTCTCACTCTCATGAATGATCGCTTAAATCTCTCTAATCTCTAATCTCAGTATCTTCATTGATACTACCGGCGATGACGTCGCTTCTTCTGGCCTTCTTCTTCTTCTTCTCCCTCTACGGCTTTTCTCCGGTTATCTCCGACGGTTCCGATCACCGTTATATGGTCGGTGATGATGTTCCCCTTTACGCCAACAAAGTCGGACCGTTTCACAATCCCAGGTCTGTCTCTGCGTTAATAATCTATTCACACTCTTCAGATCTGAGCTTCGATTCTCAGTAATTTAATTGTGCGTTTTTCTGATTTTTTGATTTTTGATTTTTGATTTATTTTGAATTTCATGAAGATCTCTCTGTTCTTGGGGTTTCTGATTCGAATTGTTTCAAATTTGGAATTTGATTTCTGTAGTTTGACTATGATGAATTGGGATGAAAAATTCGTAGGTCTATATGAATGTTTCTGGAGTGTGTGATGTTTCGTTAAAAAACTATTGAATTAGTGAATGTGGTTTGATGTTAGTGTAGTTTTAAGCATTTGATTCATGCTCATATAAAATTAAACAGTGAACATGATCAAACGACGATATTGTGAAGTGAAACAATCTATGCTTATAATGCTAACCGAGGTTCTATGAATTACTAATTCTGTTGTGTTAGTTTGAGCTGAAAATTACCTTTTCTATGTGTGTAGTGAAACATACCGATACTTTGATCTCCCATTCTGTTCTTCAGGTATGTATTGATGGTAAAGTTGTGCTTAGTTTCATATGGGATTTTTTGTAGTTTTATATAGCTGAGGTATATGTTTTTACAGCTCCTGTTAAGGAAAAGAAGGAAGCTCTTGGGGAAGTTCTCAATGGAGATCGGTTAGTTAGTGCACCCTACAAACTGGAGTTTTTGAGTTACAAGATCTCTGTAGTTGCGTGTAGAAAGAGGTTGAGTAGAGAAGACGTTGCTAAGTTTCGTGATGTGATCTTGAAAGACTACTACTTTCAGATGTATTATGATGACTTGCCCATCTGGGGATTCCTTGGAAAAGTTGTCAAGGATGGCAAAACTGACCCATCTGAGTACAAATATTACCTCTTCAATCATTTGCAGTTTGAGATTTTCTATAATAAGGACCGTGTTATTGAAATTATTGTGAGAACAGACCAGAACATTCTCGTGGACTTGACTGAGGACAAGGAAGTCGAAGTGGATTTCACATACTCAGTTCGATGGAAGGAAACAGAAATTCCATTCGAGAAAAGGATGGAGAAATACTCGCTGGCTTCTTCAATGCCGCACCACTTGGAAATCCATTGGTTCTCGATCATTAACTCATGTGTCACAGTTCTTCTCTTGACTGGTTTCCTTGCAACTATTCTGATGCGAGTCTTGAAGAACGATTTTGTTAAGTAAGATATTAGCTAAACTATATAGCATAATTGAATTTGTGACTTTTAATATATCTTGTAACTTACCATATAGGTTGTTGTACATAATAGGTATGCACACGATGAAGAGGCAGTTGATGACCAAGAAGAGAGTGGGTGGAAATTGATCCATGGTGATGTATTTAGGTTCCCAAAACACAAATCCCTGCTAGCTGCGGCCCTTGGTTCTGGCACACAACTGTTTACACTGTACGTTTTCACATAGAGTTGTGGTGTTCCTGGTATGGTGTTTTCTATTCATTTTGTAACACACATTTTTATATTTGTATGCAGAGCTGTTTTTATCTTTATGCTTGCTTTAGTTGGTGTCTTTTATCCCTACAACCGTGGGGCATTGTTTACTGCATTGGTGGTCATATATGCACTAACTTCTGGGATTGCTGGATATACTTCTGCTTCTTTCTATTGCCAACTAGAAGGAACTAATTGGGTAAGTAGGATGCAAGTTTCTGGGTTTTTGTTTTTCCTTGTAGTTTTTTTTTTTCTTATTTATATTTCAGTAGCCGTCAATATTCTTTCACAGTGGCTACACATTTAATAAGATGGCTGTCTAGAGTGCTAAGTGATCTATTTGGTGAATATTCTCAAGCAGTATTGCGGTCAACTTTGTTTTATTATTTAGCATCAACTTTATATGATCCTTTACTAGCTCTCTTTTATCTGGAACATATGTCTTTATCATACTTATGTAAATATGTGTATAGTTGAGCTATGACCTTACGTGCCATTAGATGATTAGGTTTTTGAGTTTTCAACTTCTTTTTGCACGCTGGGTTTTTGTCTCAGTTCTAGACATTAATTTTTAGCAGTTTGAGGAAAAGCTATGGCTCATCACGTTCCATCTTGTTCTCATTTGCAATTAGTTATCTATATTAGATTTCTCTGTCATTCATATTTCTCCGAACGATTTTGATGCCGTAAGAATAAGTGATTGAACAGTTTTAGAAATCAATAGCTTGATTAAAAAAAACTGATATTAATTGTCTTGTCTTGACAGGTTAGGAATGTTATACTAACTGGAAGCCTCTTCTGTGGACCTCTTTTGCTCACTTTCTCCTTCCTTAATACTGTTGCAATTGCTTACCAAGCCACTGCAGCATTGCCATTTGGGACAATTGTGGTTATTTTCCTTATATGGGCATTGGTTACTTCACCATTGTTAATACTGGGAGGTATTGCCGGGAAAAACAGAAAATCCGAGTTTCAAGCTCCTTGTCGTACCACAAAATATCCAAGAGAGATCCCACCATTGCGCTGGTACCGAAGAACACTTCCGCAGATGGCTATGGCTGGTTTTTTGCCGTTCAGTGCCATTTACATAGAGCTTTACTACATATTTGCCAGTGTTTGGGGTCACAGAATATACACTATCTATAGTATTCTGTCTGTTGTCTTCCTTATTCTTGTTATAGTCACTGCTTTCATCACAATTGCGTTGACATACTTCCAACTTGCTGCTGAAGACCATGAGTGGTGGTGGAGGTAATGTCGTCTTTTCTCTAACTTCTGGTTCCATTACTACTATCTTGTCGTTGTTTTAGGGAATATACGTCATTAAGTTTCCAGCTAATTGAAACTACTTCTCTAGAGGTTTTTTCGTAACCTTTAACATAGACATATAGTAGTAAGAAAACTTGATTCTTTGCGAATGAGAACCCAATAAGTCGCAAACATTTTTCATTTTTGTCTGTGATGGTTTCATAACCCCAATAATAGATCAATGCTTTAGACTCTTTGTCTATAATTTGCTATTTTTTTGTGAATCTGACTTTTTTTTGTGTGTCTTCTGTATTCAAAGATCATTTCTATGCGGTGGATCAACAGGCTTGTTCATATATGCCTACTGTTTGTATTACTACTATGCACGGTCGGATATGTCAGGATTCATGCAAACCTCCTTCTTCTTTGGCTACATGGCTTGCATTTGCTACGGATTTTTCCTCATGCTCGGTACAATCGGATTCCGTGCGTCCCTTCTTTTTGTCCGTCACATTTACCGCTCCATCAAGTGCGAGTAAAAATTGAAGATTCTTCACTCCTTCAACAGCACCCTCTCTAGTGGTGTAGGTAAGAACATCATATCATGTTTGGACTTTGGCTTGTTGATATGATCGAAGCTATTATGTTGCTATTGTTTTACTTTGATGGTCATTGTAACAGCGATGGTAAAATACGGTAGAGGGCCATCGATCCAGCGAAGTTGTCTATTTTTTGGTTTTGGTATTCTATCAATTTTTTTTTACAGATCTTTCGTTGCTTTTTCTCCTTTGGAATGATGTCCTGGAGAAAGATTTTGAGATAGTACTTAGTAGTAACGAATATTCAAATTTCTCGTACATATTGTCATTCTCCATAATAGTTTGGCTCTATTTTTAATTCTTTAAAGACTAATACGACGTCTACAAATTCTAAGAGCACCTACAGTAAGGAGGGTTCTAAGTGAGTTTTTAGACAAACAAAAAAATGAAAAATAACTAAAAATAAATGAGAAAAAAATAGAGATAGGCTATATAATATCTATATTTAGTATCCATAGTATTCATATTTAGAACATAATAATAAAAAAAAAAAATATTTAGAACATAATATACTATATGCCTTGTATAATTTTTGTCGTTGTTATTTATCATTTAAATTTAATTAAACAACAAAAATAAACTTAACCACTGGAGGTGCTCTTAGGTTTCAACTGGTCAACTAAGGCCTTGTTCGGTATAGTGTCGCTGCGACAGTTTTAAGCGATCAAATATTTAATGTTAACCAAGACAAAAAAATCAAAGGGGATAAAATAAAGTGTCGCAGCGACTATATTTGTGAGTACTGTCGGTCTCGCCATTGTCGCTGAAAATAACAGCGAGCATTGGAAAATTTTAAAAGTGTCACTGCTATTGTTTTTAGAAAGAAAAACGAAACTATGTATCTGGTTTGGGATGGGCTTATATTGGGCCGTGACTTTTGTGTTTTGTTCTCTGCCGATATTATCTTAAAACAAATCTGATACGACCGGGCATTATCCTAATGGACCTTTATGGGCTTTCTTTGTCATTGATTATAGTTTAAGCCCAACTACGTTAGTTTGTTCTATCTTCATCGTCTCTCTCTCTCTTCTTCTTCCTGCTTCATCTCTGTTTCAATTCTAAATTTCAAGTTTCATCCTTTTCGATTTCTACAGATTTGGGTTGTTCTATTTTGTCGTTTTAATTCGTGGGTTGATTGTACTTTTTGTTGAATTTGGATTCGTGGGTTATTGAATTTTGCTATGTCTGATCATGTTCACGGTAGTTTCGTCCAAGGTTAGTGTAAGGATTGTGTTAGGTTTATTTCAAATAGAGATTTACTTGTCTGGTTTGTATTGACAATAGTTAAGGAGCTATGGGTTAAACCCTTTTATTTGTTTTTATTGGTTTTGCAGGATGATGATGATGATTCATGTTCATACATAGTCTTTGAATAGAGTTATTGAGAATGTTTACTAATAGTGGAAGACAAGAGGAACGAACTGGGAAACATGGAACACCAAGGCTTCAGTATCTACAGGTTTTGGTTTATGTTCTGTGACATAATCTTTGTGGTAATGAAAATTAAAGTAGTACTGCTGGAGCTGAGTTTGTCAAATTTTGAATTGTAGGAGCTTGTGAGTCAGTTTCAGAATGCAACTGATGAAGGTGTGATGTACTTTGGTTTTGGTAGACGCTAAGTATATTCTGAACATTTAGAAAGTATTGTTGCATAGGACTGGCTTTGGTTTTGTCTTGTGATTAATGTATCTATGGGAAATTTTTTAAGTGAAAAGTTGAATGTTCATGTATTACTGATTCATTTGTAGTATGCTTTTGAGGACTGTGTGTGGCTTCATATGGATTCTTAGGGTACTTAGGTATAAATGAGGATATGCGTTATGTGTTAAACATCACTTTATCGGCAACTATGCTGGAGTGTATTATCATAGGTTTGATGACGTTAAAAGTTAAGTCTTATTTTGCAATTTTGACTTCTGTAGATCGTCCGAATGGCAAATTGCTGTCCTCACTTTCAAATGCCTATATTATATTATAGATTTAGCAAGCCTAATCTTGCATGTCTCTGGTTTTGTCACTTAGTTTTAACGATTAGTGTTTTGCACCTGCAGAAACAAAGGAGAGAATTGTAGCAAACTTGGGGAATTTTTCATATGACCCGTACAACTACACTATTTTACGTCAGGTAAACCTCGAGTATGCTCATGTTCTATCGTTTTCCATGGAGAATCCAAATACCCCCCAACACTTGAATCTCTCTCTATGAAACGTTAGTGGTGTACTACTCTCGCAGCTAAATGTCTTGGAGCTATTCATAGACTGTCTAACAGAGCCAAATGAGAAGCTTGTGGAATTTGGAATAGGAGGAATATGCAACGCTTGTGCCGGTAAAAAAGCCTGGAATATACGAATATACTTTGATACTGAGCTTCAAACCAAATGCTCTTTTCTCTTCTTGTGCAGAGCCAAACAATGTTACTATCATTGTCCAAGCTGATGGAACTCCTCTTATAATCAAATGTTTATCAAGTCCTGTACGAAAGACTGTGAGCACACATGTTTCTCTACCCCTCATTAATGTTCCTCTGGTGGTGCTTAAATGAAAAAGCTTAAAAAATTGTTTGTTTTCTAATAGGTGAACTACGCGCTTGGGGCTTTGTACTACATGTGTGACTATAACAGAGCAACAAGAGAGCAGATTTTGAAAGAAGAAGTGGTGGATCTCATCGAGAGGTACGCAGCTGCTGAATCAGTCAGTGTAAGCTTTAGTAACTTGGCCAAGGCATTTCTTGACAAGCATGTTCATCATGCAAACACATGAGAGTAATGAAATTTTCTATATTTTTGTTCTGTTGAGTTTGATTCAGCTTGTATATCTATCAATAGGCAAAAAAATGCAAACGCTACCATTGATGTTTTGATTTTTGAAGATTCAGAAAGAGTTTAGTTGCGTCTTGTGATAATGTAGATGAGTAATGTTTAAGGCTAAACTGATGAATTATATACTTGTGTGAAATCGAATGATGAGAAAAACTTATTTCTTCGTTAGAAGTTGGAACCTTTCACATTTGAAAATGCCTGTCATATGTATTGACCAAATAGTCTCTTCCCAAAAGCTTCTACTGCCTCTTGATTTTCTTACAATAAACAAAAAAATTGATGTCTTTATGGTTTGGACATTTAGTTTATTATAAATCATATTAAAATAACACTTTTAAAATATTTTAATAAAATGTAAGCTTAATTACTAAGTAAATTTATTATTTAATAGTAATAAGAAATTTCAAAAGTAAAATAAGATTCTTTTTTAAAAATATTCATTTTATGATTAACAAAAGAGAAAATTTCAAAATACCCATTTTCGAATACCACTTTTTTAAAAAATACTCTATTTTCCAAATTTTATAAAAAAAAGGCCACTAAAATTTAGAAATTTATACAAATATATGTGTAAGCTTAATAAATATACAGAAATATATGTATATGTGTGTAAGATTTTATATATAATTTATAAATAACGTATAAAATACCTTCTAAAAACCTTTTAAATACTTTTAAACTCCTTAAAAACCTTTTAAAACTTATAATATTTGGATCAAGACTCCCAGCAGTATTTATTATCTAAAAGTATCTTATAAGCCATATAAAACTTTATAAATATTTCATATAAACAATAGTATTTTTAAAAATTGATAGGTAAAAGGGGTATTTTTGAAAAAGGGTACACCAAAGTGGGTATTTCTCAAAAATTCTCTTATCAACAAAATTTATTAAATAATAACACCAATTAATATTGCTAAGAAATTTTTAAATAATTATGTGGAACTAAATATTTAAATTAAAAATACATATATTTTGAAAAAAAATCATAAACTAGCTTTGTAATGCTAAAAACACTATTTTCTCTCTTACAAGCGGCGTCTAACACCTCTCTTCTTCCTTTACTTTTCTTCTTATTATTTTTTTTTCATTTTTAGTGGTTTTTCTTTACTTCTCATCATTATATTTCTTCTTCTTTAATATTTTAGTATTTTTTTCTATTACAAGCAAAATAAATTTTTAATCATTCATAAAACAAATTTACGAAAAATAAATTTAGAAAAGATAATTATGTCAATCTTTAATAAATAAGCATGGAGTTTAGCCGGTGATGGTTTCATCCATTATTCTGAAGTTCCTTATTTTTCCATATGTATTAAGGTTTTATCTTAAATAGATTTTGAGTTTTGACGAAGAACTAAAAGAATGATATCTCTTACAATTATATCGATTTAGTAATTTATTCTGATTTTGTTTATAATTTTTTTAGTCTATTTTATAATTACAAAAATATAAGAACAGTTCTTGATGCTAAAAATCGTCTCTTTTTCTCTATTAAAGGTGTATATTTTTATATTTTTCTCTAGTATCTGATTATTTTATTATTCTCCTCGTTTGATTTTAGGTTTAAAACATTACTTAAGCATGCATGTAACGAATAGGCAAAATAAAAAAAATTCAGAAAGATACTGAAGTAAATTTTTAAATATTTTGCCAAATTTATCTATTTTAAATTGTGTTTTAAGTATTATGTCTTATACATATTCCGACGATGAACCCAAAAACTGATATCTGATTTGCAATTGAATCGATTTAATTATTTATTCTGGTTTAGTTTATATAGTACGGTTAATGTTCAAGTAATATTAAATTTCAAGTAATATTAAATTTTATTTTACCTCATTTTTTTGATAATATATTAGATTTTATAATGATGATAATGCTTCTAAGGTTTATGTTGAGTTAAACCTTAAAAATTTTCTATAGGTATGCTATGGTCATTATAAAAAACAGATTAAATGATTGAATTTTGTTAATTTCCACGGGCTCTATGTACATTGAGACTTTGACTATATGAACTCACATAGGAATTTATTTTTTGAGCTAGAATTGTGCGAGCTAGTTTCCTTACAAACTAGCCAAGCTTATAGATTCAACTAATAACCTTTACAAACAAACAAAAACGTACTGCTACATTTTTTCTGTATCATGTATTCTAATAAAAAAAATATTTAATATTTCCTTATTTTCAATTTTTTTATTTTATATTCATATTTTTTTTTACCTTTCTTTAAAATCATTATAATTTCAAATATGTTTGTGATTAATTTGCTTACAAATAAATTTCAGTTTTTAATAAGGGAATTTCGAAAATACCCCTTTTCATATACTTTTTTTAAAAAATACTCTCTTTTCAAGCTTTATCAAAAAAAACCCCACCAAAAATGTTGAAATTTATCCAAATATGTCTGTAAGCTTATAAATATATACACAAACTACCTTTGTATGTTAATAAAATTTATATATCTTTCATAAATAACGTAAAATAAATTATAAAAACCTTTTAAGAACCTTATAAAACCTTCTAAAAACCTTATAAAACTTATAAACACGATTTAAAACATTTTAAAATATTTATATCAAATTTCCCAGTAGTAGTTATTATATATAAGTATTTTATAAATTATATAAAACTTTATAATATTTTGAAAATGATAGATAAAAGGGGTATTTCTAAAACGGGGTAAACCAAAAGGGGTATTTCTCAAAAATTAGAAAAGTGTGTTAAGTTGTGTCTATGAGGAAGATGAATAGAGACGATGAAAAAGATCTGGTAATTTTGTTGTCGGACGGTGAGTGGATGAAGTGGGTGAAGTAAATGAAATCTTTTTTTTTTCTTTCCTTATATAGATAATAAAAAAAAAACTAAAGCTTTGATTAAATCAATATAATTTTACTATTTTGCACTTAACAGACAATATTGTCTTTTGGCGGTGTAAACAAAAAATCTAGTTTTAAGGTTTAAAGTGTTAGTAAAATCATTTTGGTGGTATATATTGTATAGTGTTAGTTAAATACTCTCGAGGTTTAAAGTGTTATCAGTGACACTGTGAAGGTTAAAAATAGGTTCTTCCCTATATTTAAGTTTGTAAGTTTATATGACTTTCTGTTTAGAGTAGATTGTCAATTCCAATTTGAGAAAGTGACATTATATCTTGTCCTTATATTGCTTTTTTTTTTGTTATCTTTACTTTCATAAACTCAAACAGTCATTTTGGAGCACTTAATCAAATATGTGATGATTTTGCGAGATATTTTTTTGGTTCATTCTGAGCCCAAGGTTAACTTTTAAATTACCAAAAATGATGTTTTTAGGCAAATATTTATTGTGTTACTAGTTCAACATTTCTCAAATTGTTCATAAACATATATTATATCAAACCAAAATAACAAATTTTCACTTAACCACACAATTTTTTTTTTTTTTTTGCATATTAAAACAGTAAATTTCATATTTATACATCGATATCACACATCAGGTGATGTTTTCCAAACTTCTGTTTTAGGAGACATTTTCTCTTGTGTAGCAGATTTCATGATCTTGAGTGCTTCTACCATATCGTCACATAGTCTTTGTGGATCTGGAATAGTTGTTGTATCAACAGCTAGATTGATGACAATCTTGTTTACATAGCTTATAAAATGGATATTGAGAGCCTTAATAAACATCACAAAAACAAAACAAAAAAAAAAACAATTAGCTAAAATTAAATTTTAACTTCATCAAAAGTTTCATAATCTTTTATAAGGTAAAAAACTGTACTTAAAAATGAATGAATTAATATATACATGAAATCAATTATACTTACTTGTGATCCAACTAATGCACTTCCCGCAATATACGAAATCGGATGGTGAAGAAAACTTATTTCTTCATCAGGACCTTTCACATTTGAAAATGCCAATGATGTGTGACCAAATATCCTCTTTCCAAAAGCTTCTACTGCCTATTATTTTTCTTACAGTAAACAAAGAAATTTAGGTATATGCATTAAAATGTATCGATTAAATTGCGCGTATCGATTTCATATTTTTCACCTTTCCTCCAAAAAATTTCAAGGTGAATTTTATGATTCCGTAGAAAATAAATGCTTCAAGAGATATCTTTTTCCTATCCATGGTCTCTTTGGCTCGTCGAATGTATTCCAATGGATCATTCTCTGATTTCACCCACAAAGGAAATATGATAGTCCCTATGAAGTTTCCCCATCTACACTTTGAACCCTTTGACATCATATTAGCCAAATCCTGTATTTTTTCATACCTTATTAAACTTTACACTTAACATAATTTATAGTTTGGTTTTGCATAATTGTATATAACTATGTTGATTATCACCTCTATCTTTGTTGCTGGTCTTAAATTTACAGCTACAGCACCACGAACTCGGAGTTCTTCTAAGATCTTTTTCTTCTCGGCCATCGATCCATCTGACAAAAAATTGATCAAGTATTAGAACTATTACTAAGGATGTTCTAATACTATGATGATAGTACTATTATGGTAAACTGATTAACTCTGGTTCTTTTTATTATTATGCGAAGTGAGTAAATATCGAATAAATAACGATTGAAGAAAAGTTTAATTTCAAGAAAAAAAATTGATAGTTCTATCTTCATCCATCTAAAAAGAAAAATGAAAGTATGAAATCTAAGCTTTGAGTATATACCATATTTGCTACTCAAGTATCTTGAAAGACCTGCTTGTGTCATTCCAAGAAGTACATCATTCACTTTCTGCAAAAATTTATAAAACTATGAATTTGATATAGTGTACGTAAACGAAGTGAATGATCAATATAAAGCAAAGCAACAATTATATCATACCACATTCATTTTGTCCTTGACAAACTTGACATCATCAAAACTTATAATCCGATGCATAAGCTTCCAAGATTGGAATCCATCACTAGGATTACCCATAATAGGATTTTTGGTATCTCGCAAGAAGCATATAGTAAGCATCAACTTGAAAAATTCAACAATAGTAGTGAAAGTGACTCTTATCATAAACCAAAACCCAACAACCAACCACCAAGCCATGGAATCGACAGGTTTTTTCGTGGCCACGGTATTGGATATTAGCGCGTTAGGATCTGATATTTTTCGCGAACAAGCAAGTAAAAGAGACATAAGAGACATTCCATCACCAATTGAGTGATGTATTTTTACTATAGCCAAAGATTCTGCTTTTGAGGTCTTTATGTTGAGTAGATGAAATTCCCAAAGTGGCTTGGACATGTCCATTGGAATGTTAGCAATGTTTGAAATATAGTCTTCTATGAAATGATCCGGATCGCCAATGTTGGCATAATCAAGATCCGGGACAAGGACATGGTCTTCTACTCGAACTTTAACCGGAATCCACACTGGTTCTCCTTTTCTCTTATAGTCTACTTCCTGAATAGACAAGAAAAATTATAAATGTCTATAATTCATATATAATGTCTATAATTCATATATAATGTCTATAATTCAGACAAAACTGATCAGAACTAATCTACTTGTGATTTGCATACATAAATTAAACTCTTTGATAATTTAGAAGTACAAACACATGTGTGTAGTAAATTTATTGAAGTTTATTTTATCTTATTTAGATTATACATACTTATTATTATATATACAAATTTTAATTATGTGTCTACGACATATACAAAATGCATGCGTACGTATAGAACATATACAAAAACAATTACCATTTTGCTAGTGAATCTGGGAGCATTGATCAATGAGTTGCTGATGCCTTCAACAAATCTTGATGTATTGCATCTAATTTTTAACCCAAAAGTGATAACAATGAAGAAATTTGGGGAACTTAGCATATGTGACATTGGGCTAAGTGGCTCCATTGGTGTTGTCTCATTGACCTCAATATCTTTTTCCATTTTCATGGTTTTTTTATTGATTCTCCAACCTTTGCAGTAGCTACATTGGTTTTTATAGCATTTATATATTTTTTTTATTAGTATTAAATGATGGTTGGTATGAGGTTAGGGTTTTGTGGTTGCTACCTTCGCAGGGTCCTTTGTGTTGTTTATAATTTAGTCATTCCATGAATCTTATATATCGAAAAAAAAATCATTCGGTTTATAATATCATTTCATGAAGTTTGTGTTTAATTATAAAATTTTCTTTATAAATTTTAAATTGGATTGAATAATTAGAAAGAGTAATCACTATATATGATCGTATAGATTTAGAGCGAGAAGGGCTTCTTTCTCTTGAAGATATACTTGTAACGCTCCGACCGTTATCTCTCCAGTGGATCCCATGTTCACCACCAGCCCATGGGCCCATCTTGTTTACCGACCTTACAATCACCACATGATCTTTCCATGTATTTTGGCCTCACTCACACAGTTCCGACAATCACTTACCGGAAGGTCACCCATCTTTTGACTACTGCAACATAACCACGCTTAACTATGAAGTTCTCTCAATATCCTTGACCGAAATGATAAATGCATTTTGGTGAAATAGGTGGCTAAATCAATTCATTTAAACATCTCCGCAAAGCAGGGTCTCACAATACTCCTAGTCCCTTAGTGTAAAGGTGGGTGCAAAGTCATGATCATCTTGATCACAGTACAGACAAAAATCATGGTGAGATCAGAGATGAGTCTATTGTAAACACATATATGAGTAGTCACTGTAACAATGAAAAGTGTCTTTGTCTATTGAATTTTGTAGGATAAACGTACGGGTCCAAAAACCTTCTAGTGCTAAACCCCATGAAACATAGGTAGATAAAATATAGTGGTACACGAACAGCCTAAATTAGTCATACACGTATGTGAATGTGACGTTATATATGCAGTTTGTCTAGTCTATCACGAGATATATTATTGTCAAGTTGCTTTTTATTTTTGATAATTTAGCATATTTTAAGAAATACATATAAACTAACAAAATGTTTACTTGTCGAAAATGTTCGAAGAAAATATATATATACAACCTTTGTCTAGATGCTAGATGCTCAGACGATGTTTATATAATTTTCTCTAACTGTCTACAAATATATAGATTTAGTTTGTACTTTTTCTAATTTTCAATTACATATATTTAAAATTTACAAAGTTTTACTTTCATATACATGATTAGAACGATCATATGTTGTTTTTTTTGTTGTTGTTGTAAATATCTCACTGATTATAAAAACAGTTTAGGTTACAACTTACAATTGAAAGATTAAGATTCTATACATGGAAAAAAAAAATGTGAAGCATAAAAAGATAATTAAACACAATTTTCAGTTCATCTACTCAATTAAGGAATAAAAATATTGTGGGAACAAGATGGACCAATGACGTTTTTGTCGTATTTTCTAGATAAATTACAAAAAGAGAAGGTCAACTGAAGGATGTAGAACATATTTTTACTATAGATAATAATTAGTTTTAGAAACTTTTTCAAGGAAATTTTTATACATTATCTATTAAATCACGGGAGAATTTCAGAAAAAAAAAATTTTCTGGTATCACTTTTTTAAAAATACTCCTCTTTCAAATTTTATCAATATTTTTCTGTAGTTCTTGCTACGATTTAATATTTTATTCACCTAATAAATGTTTTAACTATAATTTTTAAAAGAATTTATAGCACTATAATATGTTATATTACAAACATTTAAACCGTTTAAAATCATCTAATCTCATTAGTCATTCGAAGCATTAGATAAATAGTGAACCGACACCAACACTTAAGCAAATACTAATAGTAATAGAATTAATGATGTGGTACTAAGTACTGTTCGAGCTACAAATATGCCATTTCGGTGTACATATATCGTTAACATATATGTCCCCAGCCTATTTAATTGAAATTAATAACTTTCTTTTTGTTGTGGGTCATTAAGATGAGGATGTTATGTTTTTTGTTTCTTTTTAAAGTAATTTATCATATCTAACAACAACCCACGTAATATGTATGATGTTAAAAACCCACATAATGTATGATATTGACATAAAATGAAAAAAATAAATATTGATTTAAATTGTTTGTAATAACTGTATGAGATAATAATAGTAATAGTAATATATTCCATCTTTTTTTTTGTATCAATCCACTTTTTCAAAAAAAAAAAAGTTGTATTTTTCAAATTATTTATGCATTTTTAATTATTAATGATGAATTATAAATTTCAAAGAAAATAAGTAAATATTACTGGTTTAGAACTAAAGAAAATAAAAATAAAATAATATATTTACAATTAATTAAGTTTTGATATGCGTGAAAAGTCTAAAATATATATTAATTAAAAACAAAGAGTAGAGTTTATTTTGGAATCAGCTTTCAGCATTGGCATTGAATCACTAGGTTTTCGACTTTACATATTGGGTTTTAAAAAAATTTGGTTAAGTAAACAAAATCTAGTGTTATTCTCATTGTAGTACATTTGAGCATAAGATTTAAACAACATAATATATAAAGAAATTGAGTGTAACAAAATTTAGAAATTAAAGTGAAACAAACTTAGTGTTATATATTAATTCGCATTTTGTTAAACTTGACTTGATTGTAATAATTTTACTAAAATTATTACAATCAAGTCAAGTTTACTTTAAATTTTGTTAAAATGCGAATTAATATATATTAAACTAAAACATATATTAAACTAAAATTATTACAATCAAGTCAAGTTTACTTTAAATTTTGTTAAAATGCGAATTAACATATATTAAACTAAAATTATTACAATCAAGTCAAGTACATTAGAGCATAAGATTAAAACAAACTTAATATATGTATGCGTTAATCAATAGAATAGAAGTAACAAAAGTTAGTGTTATTCTCATAGAGTTTAAGTAATATCCAGTGCTAAGATATTATCAATTTGGTAGTTGTATGAAATAAAACTTAAAAGGTACAACTTATATAATATCGACCACACAATTCATCTAATTAGGAGAGTCTGATCAAATACGAGTACGTGTTCAGAAATATTTATGAACAATTATGAGGTTGGCAGCAAGAAGATGAGTGTTGTACCTAAAAGTCTACTACCTACAAATATTAAATTTCATACCAAATACTGTTGGTTTCATATAATGTTCTTTTTTCCATAAATATGCGATTTTAAACTAAAAATTCAAACGAAGTATTAGTCCAAAATATGTGAAAGAGTCGGCTAGTTTTGTTATTGATAGTTGAAATCACATTGAAAAGTCTTTCAACGCAAAGTCTCGGTTTGTTTGATATGTTGTACATTGCTATTTACATTATAATGTGTGATGGGCTTGATCATATTTACAATTTTTCAGGGTTTGGCTAAGCAAGATTCGTGCGGCACATGATATAAGTCCGGAAACTCTTAGTACACAATCAAGAAACATTTAAAACGTCTTGTGTTTGGTGGTGACACTGGAGTACTCATAAGCATTGGTGTAAACATTGACCCCTCATGGCCTCAATGGAACGGACAAGAATCATCTAGGGTACTAGATTAACATCATTTTTAGTTTCACGCGTACTGGTAAGCAAAATTCTTGCATCACAAAGGCGAACACCGAGTTCCAATTGCCTATTGAGGTCCCTAATACGACCTTGTAGGTAGGCTCTACCACATTTCCTCTAAATTCAACCCGATCACTTTCGATAAAACAATTCATAGCGAGCCAAGAGAGATTAAGGTGCGGTCGAAAGAGAGCCCTAGCTGGACTATAAATGATCGACGAAAAGTATCATAAATTTTTGGGATTGATAATCTCCTAAGAAAACCTAGATAGAAAAATGCAAATTTACAACCAATAACCTTGATGAACGGCCTTGTGATGCAGTCGAGGGTAACGAGTTGTTGAATCAATTTATGGCACAAATTCAAATCAACCACACAACTTATTTTTTAAGTACGACTCTGATATCTTTTGGTCTACCTTAAGTACTAACTCTTTGTGTTCAAAGCAATAAAACTATTACCAGTTATCACAAGTGGTCTAGCTGACTGCTATGATATAATACGACATATGGAGATTTTATTCATATTCCGTGCTATGCCTACTCTTATACTATAAAGTATAAAAGCTTGAAAAATTTGATGAAACTAGTACACAGCCATAAGTGATGATAACGTTGACTACATTAATATGCAAAAACCGTAATTAGTATTGCATTTGATAAATCATTCATCGTATCAAAACATTCATTAGCGTTTTGCTGAATCCAAACCAAGAAAAGTCTCATGTGTTTGAATGAACATGCTTGTCAAGAAACGCGCCTTAGCCAAGTTACTAAAGCTTACACTGACGGATTCAGCAGCTGCGTACCTCTCGCTGAGATCCACTACTTCTTTCAAAGCCGAGTTTGATGCACTATTTCTTCTTACTTAAAAGCTATGTTCCTCTTACCATTCTATACTTGATGTAAAGAAACTAGAGACACCATTACAAAAAAGTCTGATTTTATTTGGAAATAAATAGTATACAAGGATTTGTGGATATAATTGGTGTTATACTGTTATTCATTGTTTACCAAGTATCGTGGAGAAGACATCTCTCATGTGCGAAGTAGATTCCAAAGTAACACTAGACTTGGCACGCCAAGCAATGTGTTGGTCGGGACGGACTAAAATAGATCCTCTCTCTGACATTTTACATATACTCCACCACGAAGTTCCTTCATCATCTTGTCTTTTAACTTCCATAACATCGGCATAATTTTCCCATGGAGCTAATGCTGATTTGCTGTCCCTTTCAACACCCTCTTCGCTACTAGGCCAGGCCACGCATACCTTGACATTAGCGATAAACTCTTTTGCCACTTTAAATGTAGCACAAGCTAGCTCATAGGACTCTTGTAATGGTGATATTATTAGTAGAAACTCCACTTTCTCTGTAGAAACAAGGTCCAGAGTAGAAACAACAATCTCTTTTGTGGAACCTGACAGGATTCTCACATGCATGTGAGGCAGTCTTGAACCTGG